ACAGGGGATGTCCACTGCGTGCGGCAGAACAGACCCGAATCCAGCAGAATTTTCAGGATGACTAGCGGACCTCTCCTTGTCCAGCACAGTCAAAAAAAGGCACAGCAGAAACACGACATTTGCCATTGTCCAGCTCAACAGCATCCACGATGTTCCCGAAGCAAAACCACGTCAGGACAGCAGCAAGGAAGTAGGCAAGCAGCAGTGTGGCAACACGGTTTCTCCGCGGTATCTCCAGACCAGGCCTCCCCCGCACAGTAGCACCCAACAGGTGGGAGTAGGCCTCTAACAGCAGTTATACTGAGTGATATATATTTTACACACTGCTCTGCTTTCTGCACGGACCTCACAGCTGTTCTCTTTGTAAACATCGGTCGCGATGAAAGCAGTTACTAAAATAATATCCAGGGGATGCATGCAGAGCTGTTATTGGCTGAGATAAGTCCGGCCGTGCGCCACGCCTCCACCGTTCCCGGAAATGCATCCGTGGAGGAGCCGTGGAGGATGCATCAGTGTATCCTCGATCATAGCTCCTCCAGAGAGCCTCCTCGACGCTCGATCCTCGGAGTGCATTTAGAGAAATTAGATGTCCTTCAACATGGCGCGCTGAAATTCATTTCCGGGTCACTACCGGAGGACCGAGGAGCCGAGGAGGGGAAATTAGAGAAATAAGAAACCTTCCAGATGTAGCTGGGTGGAGGGAAACAGGAAGGCTCCACTCTGAGACTCTAATATTGTTAAAACATGAGAGACAAAGGGAAGTGGGAGGTGGAGAGAGCTCTGAGTTATTCTTTCAAAGTGACATTTTTTTATCTTGCCATTTTGAACCTAAATAGAGGTCAACTGGGCATATATACTGAATGTGTATACACAAAGCTGGAACTGATGTGAAATGCTTAACTAGATCAAATAATTCACAATTCTGGAGGCTTTTGCATTTATAATGTCTCTCCACTCATTTACTTACCTGTCTTTTGTCAATCTGTCCTTTGAAATGTCTATATGTAATTAGGGATTCTCATGATCAGTATATAGTCAAATAGATATTATAATAACAAAGCAATCACATCTATTCCACAACAAGACCTGGCTCTCCTAACAAGAATATTTTTATGGAAAAAAATATGTTTTTGTCCAAGCAAAATATAGCAACTATTTCTAACTTATTTAGGTTTTTATTCAGGGCTTTGTTTCTCTATTCATTGAAACATCATTGCTGTACCAGAGCCCTAGATCACAGTCAAACCGCTTGTCTTGTCTCAACAGAAGTCAACATATATTCATTTTATCGTCTGAAGCAAATCTTCACACTCCAGACGCTAGTGCTAATTATTGCCGGAATAATGACTAAATAAATAATAATAAAAGAGGTTTTTTTTCATTTCGTTTCAGCTTCTGTTGTAGCCGTCTAAAACTTTTTTAGTTTTGGGTTATTTGTAATCAACCCCATCTCATTGTCCCACCTCTTCCTCCTTATTTTCATCTTTTTAAACTCTGTACACTTTATCCCTTTTTAGACTGCTGCTCACTGACCGCGCCTTGTCTCTGTGCCCCCCCCCTGTTCTCTTGTGTTTCTCCTCAGGCTCATCAGCAGTGCAGGAAGGCAGACCGTCTGCTGGTGGCTGGGAAGTATGAAGAGGCCATCTCCTGCCATGACAAAGCAGCAGGTAACACTAACACCACACTGAAGTAAAAGTACAAAATGATTGGCATCAAAATATACTTAAAGTACCAAAAGTAAAAGTACTCCATATGGCCCTTATCAGAACAGAATTGTATATTTACTGGGTTACGATTGTGATTATCGATGTGTTTTCATCACAACTGGTAAATGAAGAGCATATTTGAATAACTTAATATACTGCTGCTGGAAATCTCTTAACCTATTAAAGGGGAACTATCATGCAAAATGCACTTTTTATGTCTTTTATATAGGGCTGCAACAAACGACTAATTTGATAATCGATTAATCTATCTATTAATGAAACGATTAATCCACTATTCGGACTGTTATGACTTCCACAATTTCTCAAACGCTCTGATTTAGCCATCAACTTTTAGATTTAGCTTGAGGTTGTTTTAGGCATGTGGAAACTAACAATGAAGACAATAAAGTTGAATACTTGATTCAAAAATACATATATTATTAAATTAACTTAACAAATTGTGAACAAAATTAACATTGCTTTTTATTTAAATTAAATAAATAATATTTCACATCAAAAGAAACAACAATGTTTTAACAAATCGTATTAAATAATCTGATGACAGAACTGTAAACAGAATAGCTGAAACTTTAACAAACTAACTAACTAAATAACTCAGATACCTCTAATCATTAACCCATGTTTGTATCATTGAGTTAACTCTGGGCGTTGCTGCTAGCATACATAACACCTGACGTGGGAGTAGTAGTAGAAGAGAGCAGAGCATTAACAGCAGGATAAAATTGGGACACTCTGGACTAAACTCATCACTGCATCTGATTGGAAAACATCCAAATGGCAATTGTGATGGTTGCCAACAACCAGAGACAATACATCATGTATTTTTTAGCTGCCCGGATTATAACAGACAAAGATTCATTCTGAAAACTGCACTGGAACAACTCAACATCAAGGACATGGATTTCAAGGCAATATTTGAAAGTAAATCAAGAAATGAAGCAAACAAGCTGATCTTCAAATTCCTCAAAAGCATTGGTCTGAGGACAAGGATTTAGTATGAACATTTAATAACTCAATAGTAGGTGGCGATATATGCTCCANCTCAATGATACAAACATGGGTTAATGATTAGAGGTATCTGAGTTACTCTTTATTTTGTTAAAGTTTCAGCTATTCTGTTTACAGTTCTGTCATCAGATTATTTAATACGATTTGTTAAAACATTGTTGTTTCTTTTGATGTGAAATATTATTTATTTTTATNCGTCAGGTGTTCTTCTTCTTTTCTTTAATGGCGAATCGCTTCCACTTGGAGCATATATCGCCACCTACTATTGAGTTATTAGGATTTAGTATGAACATTTAATAACTCAATAGTAGGTGGCGATATATGCTCCAAGTGGAAGCGATTCGCCATTAAAGAAAAGAAGAAGAACACCTGACGTGGAACCGTTACTCGTGGATGGGGCTACAGAGCTACTAGAAAGACAGTCGAACCCGGTGCATTCCTCCGTCTGAATGTGGTGCACTTTAGCTAAATGTTTAGACAAATTGCTCGTGTTACCGCCCTTACATGCTAAACACTCTTGGCAAGGAGCATTGTCCACCCCCGCCCCCTCGCACACAGACTGGAGAGAGATCTGGGGACTCATTTATAACGCCGTGCGTAGGATTCACGTGGGAAGGTTGCTTATGTAGTTGAAATCCGAAAAATATGTCTATACATTTTCCGCCACTTTCCGATTCACCAAACATTGCGTACCAGCTAGGAAAGTGCGTATGGCACTTCCTACGCCGGTTTCCCTTTATAAATCACAACCGACTCGAAATACGTGCAGCTTTTGCGGGCTTCACGTAACGCCCATATTTGCCTATAAATAGTCAAAGAAACGCCCTTTCATTCATTCATTTTGACTGACTGCATGGAGAAGATCGCAGGAAATGACGACAGAACAGCTAAAAAAAAACTTCTCACACCGTGTCAGATTTAGATTATTTCGGGGAGGTCGAGATAAATGATATTGTTTGGTGGATGCAGTTTGAACCAGAGTAGCAGCATGGAGGTCGGATCGTCACCAAAATAAATAAATAAGTGGTCTGAAAAAGGTTCATGACAAAAAAAATACACATAGCCTTCCTCAGGCAGTGTGTTTTGTACCTGGGACATTAATTTGAGTTTTCCTGGCACTTGACTGATTTTGTATTGCTTTGCATTCTGGGTTAACAGACTGGAAAGTGATAGGTCGCTTTTTCTGTCAATCAAGTAAACTCCTGAATTAAGTGGCAGGAGGCCAAGGGAGGAAGGATCAAAACCTGTTTTCTCTATTTTAACGGAGCTGGATTTTGTTTTTTTATGAATGACTCGTGATCTACCAGCATTGACCCCCGCGGTCGACGGACTGGGCACCTCTGGTTTACACTGACGGCAGTAAGACGTCGACCCGCCCTACAAGTTGGATGTATAGTTCCCTACCTATTTTTAGAGTACTCTTCAAAGGGTTCACGCAATATGACTACTACTCTTACTGTTTAACATTTTGGGTTACTTAATGTTACTTCATATTAAGGCTAATACAAATGACAAGGCTGTAATGCTAACTAACGTGCTAGCTACTAGCTAGGTAGCTAACTTGATCCAGCCACTCCCGGGGGGTATAGGCTAGTTGCACAAGATGGCGTCTATCAACTTCCGGCGGCTGGGCGTGAGCCCGAGTACTTCTGGTCTTCGGTGTGGAGTTGTTTGTGGTGTTAGCGATATACATACGATAGATAGAGAGAGAGAGAGAGAGATAGAGAGATAGAGAGAGAGAGATTTATTATATTATGTATTGTCCTATGTTATTTTTGTGTGCATTTGTTTTGAGGTTATAATTCATTAGTTATATATAATAT